AAATGTGTTAAATAAACAGTGCTGAAACAGGTCTATACTTTCAGGTTAAAAAATACCTCATGACCTTTTGTTTAACTGGCTGCAGCCTTGTAACAACTCAAGTGGCTCTTTCTTTGTCCCTCATACATGCACCTATCATAAATAATTCATCTCTTTGCCTTGACTAACTGGGAGAAAGACGACTCACTACATCACTTAACACGATAAGCAATTGAAAGAGATGGAGAGTCAGAGAGAGACACACAAGCTGTCAGGGCCCTTACAGCGTGGAGATTAATAGGTCATAAAGACGGAGGCAGGAGCAGATATGGAGGCAGAGTAAAAGGAGCAAATTTGTAGATTTGGAGACGGGAAAGTGGAAGGGGACGAGACACGAAGTCGAAATTAGGAAAAGGGGCGAGATGAAAGGAGAGAAGGAAGTTACAAGTTGAGGTTGTCCGGGGTAAAAGAGAGACAGAGAAAAGGGGGAAACACAAGTTCAGGCCCGGCAGTGAAAGTGCTTTGTTCTCTACGACTTCCAGCTCAGCACATTTGTGAGGAAAGATATGACTTTTTTTTTTAAAGGAGGGCTGAAGTGCAAGCTCAGTTTAAGTTTGATGTGTTTTGATGCGTTACAGAACGGGGTGTTTCTTTAAACTGCTTTAGTCTTTTCTGACTCCTCGGGGGCAAAAATCCACAACAGGTAACAGTTACACAATATGTTGTTATGTTTCTCCCTAAACCTCTCATACAGATAACTTAACTTACATGTTGCTCTGGTTTGGTTCTGGTTTAGGCACAAAAACAACTTGGTTAGGTTGAGAGAAAGATCATGGTTTGGGTTGAAATAAGTACTTTGTTAAGGTTAGAGGACCTTTGTCACCATGGTTACGATAATAAACCCGTGGTGGAGGTTACAGATCAATTGTAGTAATGGCTACAAGAATTAATGTCGACTATCTTGACGTCATTTCTCAGTCTCTGTGTTTGTTAATAAGTTGGTAACAACAGCACAACACTGTCAAAGTGTAATTTCAGCGCTTCCCCCTTTTCTTAAACTTTTTTTTTTTTTTTTTTTTTTTAAGTGGCATCTGTGTTCGTGGGAAGACGCGGGCTTCATGAGGATTACAAAATAAATCAAAGCAGATAAGAGTAAAAAGAAAAAGAAAAAAAAGAAGAGGGTCACGCAGGCAAAGAGAGGAGAAGAACCGGGTGGAGATAAGGACTGAGGGCGAGTCAGATAGAGCGGTATTATTAATAGGCCTGTGTGTGTTTGTTAGTGCTGCAGAGAAAGTGATTACACTCCAGGGCCAACGGTGTGTGCGTCATGTCTTGACAACACCCCCCCACCAACGCCCACAACCACCACCACCCCCCACCCCCCCAAACACCACCACCAGCACCACCACCACCTTTCTCAAAATAGAGAGAATACTGAGAGGTGGGGATGTGGTGGGTGAGCGGGGGGTATATGGGGTAAGTGTGTATGTGTTTTGAAGCGGCTATAAAAGTCTTTATTGTGTCCTCCCTCCCAACTTGCACATCTTACCTCCATCTCCAACCCTTCTCTCCGCTCCGTTCTCTCTCCATCACTCTTCCTCCTGCCCTCCGTCTCACCTCTCAGGTGCATTCATCCGACCCGTTCATTCAGGTAAGACTGGAAAGAAATATTAAAATATCAAATGTTGTAGCAGAGGATACATGGACAAAAACACACACACACACACACACACACACACACACACACACACACACACACACACACAATATAAATCAGATCTTTCAGGTGCTTTGGTTGATGACAAGAATGAGTTTAGACCACTGAATGAATGAATGAATGAATGAATGAATGAAATACAGTGATTTCTGGGGTTGTCTCTGAACGGCACTTGAATTAAATACCTTTTGTTAGTTTCATAAAAACTTAAACCAGAGAGGATCATGGATGTAAATTCAACCAGGATTATAAAAAAAAGCATGGTTTGAATAAAATTAATATTACTAAAAAAGTTGATGTATTTTTATTTCCCAATGAACCCAGTCTTAAAGAAATGTAGAACCGAAGGCCGGTAACAACAACCAGTGTAAACACAGGTTAAACATCGCTCTGCTGTTGCGTCATCATTGTTTCTCGTTTCTGTTTTTTGAAGAATTTGGGATAATTTACTTTTATGTCTCTATAAGTTCATTTGGTTCGATGCTGATCTTGCATTTCTTACATTTCCCTGCGTGCTGCAACTTGATGTCCCCTCTTTATCGGTTTTACTGGATCTGCTGTTAAATGTAATGTAATGTCAGGAGCAGGTGTCGTTCTGACGGGTTCTGTCTTGGCTCTTGTTTCACCACGAACAGGTGTAATAAACACGACAGCCGCGACTTTAAGTAGCCTGCAGTAGTTAATGGTAACGTATATTCTAAGTGTTTTTTTATTTTTTATTTTATTGTTGTTACTCTTTTGACTGGGCCCCCTTTCCTATAAAATTGACCCAGATGCTCAGTGAGACTGCCTGTTTTAATAAAACATACTTTATAAATAATACACTTGCTGTGCCATGACTGAGTTCTGACTGTTCTGTTAGCAGAAACTCAATCTTTAACTATCCTTTGTGCTATAGGGCATTATAGCTTCTCTGTTCTCAGACAATGTTGACTTACTCTTCAAAGTATCTGAGGAAAAAAGTTGGCGGGAAGAGCAGAACTGAAGCTACTTTGCTGTGGAAACTCAGATTTAATATGCAACGTCTTGTGTTTATTTATAGCACACTAACAGGCAAATCTGACTTTCAATCTCCAGAGTCTGTCATCTGATGAATAGACGTGCTATGATGTTAAAATATAACCTCATTTATCCGTCACAGCGGCCTTATTTGTTCGCTGCAGGACAAGTTGGTGGAGTCACCGTGTCTGCAATGCTGATTTTTTACATTTTAGGGCTACACTGAGAAAACAGGTACATGCTCAGGGACACTTTACACTCGGTCGCTGCAGAAGGCGACGGCAGCTTCAGCCCTTCTGACTAAAGGACATTTTCTCTAACCACAGCTGTGGTCTACAAGTCTCACAGTCAAAGATGTTGTGGTAGAACTTGTGTACTTTACATAAGGCTGAAGGTGCGTCGTCACCCATATGAACGCCAGCTATGACTGAGATGCATATGTCACACTGTCTGTGAGTTATTACCACTATGTTAACAACACTGACGGGATATCAAAATCCACAGCAACTTGCCAAACCGATTTATTGTTAATAAATAGAAGGTTAAATTACTGTAGGCATCCAAACAATCTTTCTGCCAAAGGATGAAGACCTGAGACGTCACAAGCTGGCGACATCAAGGATGTATATTTGTAAGATATTATCTCATAGTTGGAGAAGAAAGTTTGCACATCTCAAGACATTTCAAAATTTCAAGTACATGCTCGCTAATTGGCTTTTGCCGCCAAAAGTCAGACACATAACAGGTGGAGAGAAAGTTGAGAAGTAGGAGATTGGACAGAAAAGAATCGGATGACTCTCTTTCTCTTTTTTTCATGTCACTTCGTCCTTCAGTCAGGGAGGGTAAGTATTTTATTGGGGTCATGACAAACCTGCAGGGGGACTATCGAAACTACTCCACCGGGGCTCTGTGCGTCTCATATCCTCACCGAGGCACTGCGTGGCATAAGACGCACATTCGCAGAGACACAAACACTCTCTCAAAGATAACAAACACATGGGAGCTCAGTTCTCACACACAAACACATTCTTCACACACTCGTTCCCAGTGCTCTCAACTGCTAAACGAGGAAGGAGCCTGAGAGCCTTCAGCTCAGTCCTGACACCTACAGGCTGCTGCAGTGTACTGCCGCCAAGGGCACCTGTTCACACGACTCGAACCTTTGGGGAAACATGACTTAGTCAATCTATCACAATCCTTTTTTTTTAAAGCAACATCCAGCTTTGCATTCACACTACAAACACGACCCAGTCTTTTGCTGCGACCACTGAAAAGGAAAGACTTAAATGTCTTGACATCTCGTATCATCCATCTATAACACACCGCATTACTGACGCGGAGTATGTGTTAATTAACGTATGTAATGAATGTAAATACTGGCAAATTAGACACTGGATTAATGGGGACAAACTCATAATAAAAATAAAAGAATTACAATGTAAGATAGTTATAACACTACAGCAGTGTTACGTACTAAAGTCACACATTTGCATTAATCAGCAATGGATCCAAATAGATTTGAATGTGGATATTTTACCATTATTATGCCATTCGTGTTTAATTGATGTTATCATTGTTCCAGATGCTGTTAACAACAGTCTGTCTTAATGTTGCAGTGTGTTATACAACATAGGAGTAGTCAGTCTGTTCTCCTCTATATTTCCATTATAGTGCCAGCGCCTTGTGTCTGTGTAAAACTAAGACACTATATGTCAGACAGAGTGATGCAAGAGAAAAGAGCCAAGTGGATACAAATACTGAAACAGTTTCAGAAGGATAGAGAAAGTTTTGTGCACAGCACAAGGTGAACAGTTAGATAATGTGGTTGTGTGCAAAATTGAGGTCCATATATGAGCGCTCCCTTAATGTATACCTGACTATATTTATGCCCACGTCTTAAATTCTGATCTATGGCTCTTTATCGCGTCCTGTCGTGCCAAGTTCCACTAAAACCATCTTTTCAATGCCTGAATGCATTTCTCATTTAACCAGGTCCATCAGGGTCAAATTCCTCTTTGTGTACATTTGTGTGTGTGTCTTCCCCAACAAAGAGACTATATTAAGTTCCTATCATCCATTCCTTAAGTGTGTCTGGGCCAGAACTTTAGTTTGAACCAGCACATTCTCAAACATATATAAACATAATGGAAACAACCTTTGTGCTAAATCCTCCACTCCTGCGCTCCCACCTCTGCACTCACCTCCTTCAAATAATGTTGTTTCATTTCTTACTTTGTACCTTTTATGTCCTCTCCGTCCCCCACTCTCTCTCTCTCTCTCTCTCTCTCTCTCTCTCTCTCTCCAGCTGACAAAATGTCGATGACAGATCTGTTGAAAGCTGAGGAGATCAAGAAAGCTCTTGATGCCTTCGCAGGTCTGTAACCACTGTAGAGTCGACATGATGTTCTCAGTAGAAACAGACCTAGAGTTTCAGAATTTAGCTATGGATGCTGACAGTCAGAAAATCTACAAACATACGTCTTCAATCCACAGAGACACTGTTACTGTAGAAAGACGACTCTATCCGGCTCTGTATGTGCAGTAATACTTTAATCCACAGCTGACCCTTTGGACTTGTCATACAATTTCATTTGAAACCGGCTGCTGTAAAGATATAAGTTAGAGGAGTCTGATGTTTCTGTCTGTGCTTTTTTTGTTTTTTGTTGTTGTTCTTTTTGTCTTGACCTTTGAAGCAGAAACATTCGATCCTAAAAAGTTCTTTGAAATGGTGGGGATGAAGGCCATGACGGCCGAAAACGTCAAGAAGGTCTTCCAGGTTCTGGATGTGGACGGTAGCGGATTCATAGAGGAGGAAGAGCTCAAGTGAGGGACTCCCACACACCCAGAAAAACACACAAACACAACACTACGATGACTCTCTGTAACACCATGTGCTTTCCTCAGGTTTGTACTGAAGGGCTTTTCCAAGGAAGGCAGAGATCTGACTGACGCCGAGACGAAAGCATTCCTCCAAGCAGCAGACAAAGATGGAGACGGCAAGATCGGCATTGACGGTGAGGGGAAAGCAAGAATAGCGCGTATAAGTTTAAATATTTAAACAAGAAGTAGAGAAGGGGAAGAACGTAGAGGGTGGGCTAAAGGTGGATTACTGTAGCTCTACACCTCCAGACTGGGTGAGAAATACGTCCTGGATTTCAGGTGCTATGTGTGGGATTTTTCAAAAAAGTTATACCAACATTTCTATGATCTCTGTTGCCTCCTGTTGCAAAGAGGATGTTGCTACTTCTATAGCAAAACAGCACCTAATTACAGTCAATATAGAGGAAGAGTTAAAACAACGCAATTAAAGCATAAAAGCTGGGATGAATTGTGATATAATCCAAACCTGAATCATTTGTATGTGGAGATGATCGTGTCTGAAAACAAATGTGCAAGTAATTTTTCTTTCATTTTACAAAAAGCACAATCTCTGAAATACATTTCTGACAATCACAAAATTACATTTCAGCTCTTCTGGTGTAATTCAGGTTTTAAGTTTTACACATTATTCTGTAGTTTTCATGTTGTCAGAAAACAAACTAAAGAAAACCAAAACCATCGATGCATCTCTTAATACTTACCCACTTTTCAGCTCCAAGGCCATTTTTTTGTCCTAAATATAAATCTTTAAAACCAGGTCACAAATATATAGTTTCATCTTTAACAAAAGGCCAAATAATAAACATTTCGACTTGTCAAAGCAGGAAAAGCACAGGTGGAGTTAATATCATAGACGACGGGTGCGTTCCCTTCAGGTGAGCCAGTTCACAGGCTCCCATGTTGTGCACGCTCAGTCACTGTCACGGCTCACTGGACACTTAATAAAAAGCAGCCATCATGAATGTCACTATTTACACCTGCGCTATTGCTGCCTCGACAAGTCAGAATATCTGCCGGTCTATAACGGAGCTCGATGGAATAAGATATATCAGGCTATGTTTACACAAATACTTGTTCGTAGGACCAATGAACTTATTGGATGTGTTGACAGGTGACGGAGTTTGTCTCATAATTCGTGCACTTTTTCATTTTTACTTTTCTTTTTCAGAGTTTGAGGCAATGGTGCATGAGTAGGGGATAGCTGACCACCCCCCTCCCCCTTCTTCTTCCTCCTCCTCCTCTTCGTCCCTGCATTCATATTTTGTAACTGCCACCTTCAAACTCCTCTCACCTCCCTCGGGACCCCAAGCATGGAGTCAGACCAGGCCTGCTCTCTACAAAACACGACCAGAAAGAGGCCGATAGGGAGCCGCCACGAGGAGAAACACACAGGCATAATAGGCACTAGTTTCATTTTTAAGTTTTCTTTTTTTATATATATTTAATCACTCACGCTGTATGGGTTTCAGAATCATTCTTAATGATTTCATGAGGATAGTTTGTGGTCTCAAAACAGGTGGTACTAGTGCTGTAGATGGTGTAGATGTTATGAAGACTTATTAAATCTTAATTTCCTTCCTCTGTGTATTTCAGGTTGTGCATTTTGTCTGATTGGTTTTACTTCTAGATGTTCACATACCAGTGCACTTTCCTCCCACTCCTCTTCCTCATCCACCTTCCCTCACCTCACCTCCTCTCCTCTATCCCCTCCTCCTCCTCCTCCTCACTCCCTGCCTCCAATCAGATGATGTAGTAAATAAAATGATATGTAAGAAGAGCTGTGAAGACAGAAAAGATCTGCGTAAGAAATGATAATAAAAAATGTTGAGTAATAACTGTCTCTTTACTTATTGTCACTCACAGCCGACACAAAACATTAAACTCAAAGAATAAAGCGCAAAACATGTCAATCACAGAACAGAGTAGAAGGTTACAAATTTATAATGACTAGGTGCTAAACTGCAGCCTAAGGTTAAATATGAGGGAAATCTATCGCTATCATGTGAGAGATAAAACATCCTGGATCCTGGATCAAATATAAAATGGCCCAAGTCAGATTTGAATGGATTACATTTTTGTTTAGCTCTGTCAAATAGGATCAGATCAGATGACCACAAAATTCAGATTTTTGATACATTTGCTTACAAAATGAGCAAGACATGACAGCTTAAGCAAAAAAAAAAAATTAAACATATGTTACTATCAGCTTAAAGAAATAGTTCAACATCTGGGAACTGTGGTTATTTTTTCTTTCACTTGCCTAGATTTAGATGCAAAAACTGATACTCATGTCTATGACCCAGAAGCCAGATAGCTTAGCTTAGTTTAACTAGCCTTGCTCTATCCAGAGGCAAGAAAAATAAAACAGGTGCTGGTAGGTGGATTGTTTCCAGTCTTTATGCTAAGCTAACCAGCTGCTGACGGACAGATTTGAGAGTAGTATTGATCTTCTTATCTAACTCAGACAAAAAGTGAATAAGCATAATTCCCAAAATGTGTAATTATTACTTTAATAAACTTAATTCTTTTAATTGAAACTTAAATATTGTACAGAGTTGATAAAACAACTATTTTAAAAGTTTATGATTTTGATATTTAATTATTAAGACGTACCATTATATTACTTTTGGTACAACACTGTACAAAAAACTCACTAAACCTTCCTCTGCCCTTCACATTTCAGAGATGTCATTACATTCTCCAGAAACAAAATTGTATATCCTGCCTCCACCACCTGATCCTGCAGCCTCGGTTACAAACCCCGCCTGCATGAGCGCTGATGGATCAGTGGATCCGAGGAGCAGATCTGTCATTGGTCGTCGTGGGGCGAAGCTTTACTGTGGCGAATGGGTTTGTGCCTCTGAAACGAGAGGATGACGGAAAATGTTACACAATACCTCATGCGCTCAACTGCTTTCTGTCAACACAAATAAAAAGCACATACACACAAATGGACACGCTCCAGTTTGGAAAACTAACACCAGACCCCAGCGAGAGAGTGGTAAATTTGACTGTGGCTAGTGAGCAGGCTGCAGAGGTCCTACATTTTTTTAAAACTACTATTTGACAGTGACTTATTGGTTTAAAAATGTGTGATTCGTCCATTCTTAAGGGGCGAAACTCACTACCATTTTTTTCCGGAAAATGTTGCTAGACTTAGAAAAAAACACCTAAATAAAATTTAACCAAAATAGTCAAATGAAATTCTTAACACACTTTTTTGATTTTGAGCTGTCATCGTTTCTGTACCAAAACATATTCTGTTTTTTCTTCATACTGAAACAGCATATAAATGGTTACTTAAAGTGCCCACTGAAACCCAGACAACTGCTACAAGCACATCTCCACTACTCTTCACATTCCTCATAAGTGATTCATGCACACTTGTATGGAATCCAGTCACTGTGTTGAATTAGGATCAATTCAGACAAAGGGTTTCTCTGGCACAGCACTGATTACCCAAAACATAATCCTTTATAAAATGAACTGGAACTGGAATTCATCACTGAATCATTCCACAGAATACAAACAGATGTTTTTTTCTTCTGTTAACTCATACACGCTGAAAATTACCTGGGAAACAAAGGGTTCTCCGGTGGCCCATGGGTTGATAATGCCTAAGAAAAGAGAGGATTGTCAGTGTGAGCCAAACCAATGAAAGTGAAGCAGGATTAACGGACCAGGGTTACTTTATATGAAGCAGAAAAAAATATTTGCAGAGTAAGTTCTTTTATTAAACCTCTGGTATCTGGACTTCAGACGCTGATTCGCCCTTCCTGTCAGGGAGGGGAGAGATTGGTCGAAAATCTTCAGAGCCCCTTCTGAGATTCTGACTCGACGGAGGAGGCGGCGGCGGGGGAGGTGGAGGCGGGTGTTCATTGTAGGTCTTAGTTTGAGCGAGCTTGATCTCTGTCACTGGTTCTGCCTTCTTCTCAGGAAGCGGAGAGGTCGGCCGGAAGTCTACAGAAGCTCTGCGGTTGGGCGTGGCCGGGGGCGGGATATCTCCGTAGTTCTTGCTCTCCAATTGGTCGGTGTGGGTGTCAGTGGGATCCAGCAGATTGTTCATACTGTGGCTTCTTAGTGAACCACCACTGAGGGTCAGAGGAGAAATTTTAGTGAGTCATAACAGTAAGTGACAGTGAAAGATAATTCTTTCCCACTTCTGGCCTGAGTGTATACCCAATTGCAAATCATTCCCGGCTGTCGATCATGACATCATACCCCCTTTTTTTAGAATTGAGACCAAACTTATCAGAAAACTGAACACTTGAACGTACATCAGCGTTATAAAATGACAGAAACCATCTTTGGGGAAAAATTTATTTGACATTTTGTAGTTGGCCCATGTCCCACCCGTCCCACCAGGGGTCACTGGTTCAGACCTGATGGTAATTCCTACCTTGTTGCTAAAGTGTTGGAGAAATCTTCAATAGGTGCCACATAAGCAGCAGGGAACCAGCCCTGACTGGGGGAGGTAAGACAGATACAGATGAGGCAACAGCGAGCAGCAAACAAAACAATTCTCACTCTACAATACTTTGTCCTTGCACCAGGAATATACAGTGTAGTTTTCACAATTTGAATTAATGTCCACGTGTGCGGTACAGTGTCTATGAACGTCTTTGTCAACCTTTACATCATTTCTCTGCTCTGGATTATCAAATTAGTATTTTATTTTGCTCTACTCTTTGTGCTTTTGTTAAATTCAAACCTTCACTAAACACAGTTTTCATTTTTTCCTCACCAAGTGGTCACGATGAACAGCTTTCACAATATGACACTTGAGTGGCTGATCAATAACAATCACTATCACGCTGACCTGCTGAGATTTCTCTTCACAAAACACTCGACCTATTCTCTACTTTGCGAGGCCGTCAACCTCGTGCTCTTACAAGGGAGTAATCCTCATCGTGACACAGTGTGTGTTCTCGTGATAAACAAATGACAGTATTGTGTCTATTCCCATTATAATTTCTTTCTTCTATATCTAAGAATGAGTTAGTTTATTCATCACTGTGAAGGTCGTTCCACTGTCACAGCTATGGAGATCGGATGCAATTTCTTCTGTTGTGAGAATTCAATGCCAATGTAAACACTGGTGAAAACCCATAAATCTGTGTTTCCTGCGCCTGCATACATACACATAACTCTGCTATTTCCGCTACCCACCGCAGGCTGCTGTCAGTGCGTCCGTACAGCCAGCCATTGCGTGGTTCCTGGACGAGTACGGTGACAGTCTCTCCCCTGTTGAAAGGTAGAAGTTTTGGGTTGGATGAGGAGGGGTGAGACACCAGGGCTCTCATGGCTCTCCCGCCTCCCAGACCCAGAGATTCCCCCACTGAGCTGGAGCGCGAGCGGCTGGGGAGGGGAGACGGTGCTGGAGGAGGAGAGAAGACGGAGAAGGAGCAGAAAGAGATGAATAGAATACAGAGAAATAAAGGGTCAGAGAGTTTCTTCTGCCTTATAATTAATATGGCAGTGAGAAAGAAATTCCCAGGTGCAGGAGGGCGAGAGACGTATACTAAAATGAATGAATATAATATCATAGCACAGGCAAGAGATTAATTTATTCATTCACTAAAGCAGAAATAACATTATTACCATAATTATTAACAGGACAATGTGCAGAACATTATCTAGTGGTTGTTTAATTGACCTAATGCTGTAGAGAAAAATACATCTTTTCTTCTTTGGGTTCAGCGGCTGTCAGATTATTACCATATTAATATACAGGAATTGTGATTAGTACAGTCTACCTCCCACCTCTAGAGGGCACTCTGCCCAGTGCCTGCTGCTCCCTCCTGGCCCAGGACATGTCCTCATCTCTGGCTACTGTCTGCAGCAGGGAGCTCACTGAACCTCGCAGCTGGTAGGACACAACGCACACAGGTAGATTAACTGCTGTGAAAAGCAAGTCACTGCAGCAGATAGATCATAAAGAAGTCGGTGCTGGTGCTGGATTTAGTTGAGGATCTGTACTGAGTCACTGTTGAGTCTACTGTTGGAAAAACTGCACACTATGTGCTATGATCAAAACAAACATGGACTTATCCATACTCACTTAATGTATGCAAAGCTTAGCTTACTTGACAGAAAAACTGTTGTAGCTGATTTATTTAATAACAGTGATCAACTAACCTATAACACCTACAGATGTTTCACAATAAAAACATTTCAACTGTAGTCAACAGGTCAAGCATTCTGTACCAGGAGACAGTAATAGGAAATCTGACATTAAAAAGACAAAGGTGATGTGACAATCATAAAACAGGGATGTCTCTTGCAAATTATAAACAAAGGCATGTCTCTAATAATATTCCTTTTCAATTAAAGACCTGTTCTCTCTTCTGGAGATAATTAAAAGGCCCTTGTTCCTATTTGACATTTTACTTTTCCCCCTCTTTGAGGATTGACAGCCATTTGAACATAGCAGGGTGTGTAGTTTTCCATAAATCATGTCACTGAAGCTCTCTAGAGACACTGGCGCAGTAAACCTGAGCCAAAACAGCTTCTTTACAGGCTGTCGGTGCATGGAATACTAATATACTGAAGTCTAATGTTCCCATCGGGTAGAAAATAATTGACTAAAGCAGGGAATGTGTTGGTACCTGTGCCTCTTGGTCCAAGGGGGTGGGAGTTCGAGGTCTGGACCCTCTGGTCTCGTTCACTTTCTCCTTCCATCCGTCTGCTTTTTGCTGAAGAGATGCACCAGTCTGGAAAACAGATGAGAAGTGAGCACCTCATTAAATCTCAACCTGATCAGGCAGAAACAAACTTAACAGGAGCGCTGCAGTAGATGAGACATGGCCCCTGGGACGCGTGTTTCAGATATTCATGCAATTAAGATGATATCACATGGGAGGAATAAAAACACTGAACAGCCCACTGTCTTGGCCATGATGGCTTAAATAAACCATGTAACTGTTGGTGAGATAGTGTGGCACTGTGTGTGTGTGTGTGTGTGTGTGTGTGTGTGTGTGTGCACCTTGTTTATTAGGAAGAGTAGTGACTGAGTGAGGCCACAGTGTTTCTCTGCCAAGAAGCGATACCTCCTCTCCTCCTCTTTGAGGATCTCCTGCTGGCTCTGCCTCAGGTACAGCATGTACTCACTGTTCTCCTAAAAACACACACATATACAATGGTACAGAACAGCTAGTGGACTGTGTGCGTGTATGTACATTATGAGTATTGAATTTATAGCTTTGTGTGTGTGTGTGTGTGTGCGTGCGTGCGTGTACCAATGAGTCTCTGTAGGCTCCTCGTCTGAGCTGTTTCTCCAAAGCCTCAGCCTGATTCCTCACCTCCAGCTCATACACTCTGCGACTACCCTGCAGCACAGGAAACAGTCTGATTGAAGAAACTCTGGTGTTAAAACGATTCGTTTCCCTCAGTTTTGCTCGAACTCGTACATGTGATCTTGACTGGTTTGCAAAGCTGCTCATAAAAGTATGAACAGCACAGTTACAGCCCTGTCCAGGATTGGCTTAAAACAAACTAAAGATCCATTTTTCTGTACAACCACTGAGCGTTCAGGAGTGGTCATTATAAAATTGCAAGACATGTGAATACAACATATACATTTACAGTGCTGTACACAGTGTGTGGCTCCTGTACGTTGAGCCAAACAGAAGAAAGGAGCCAAGCCATGATCCTCATTCACCCAGTAACTCCACTTTTAAAGAAAAGAAAATGAACTGATGAACATCTTACTGACTGACTGAATATTTTCTTTCTATTCAACCAACAATGGAAAAATTGTTGATGAATGTGGAGATTGAAGAATACACAAATACAGTAACTGTAACACTTTATTTACGCAGACCTTTCACCCAGTACGTATATTAGAGTATCTAACCATAAAATCTGGTCGTCAGAACAATAAGGAAAGTATAAACATATTTTTTCCCCTCTGTAAACTCACATCAATGTATTCCTCATCCAACTTTACATTCTTCTCCATGGCTTGCAGCACCTCTATCTGGAACCATCGGAACTGTAGCAGGAAGAAAAGCATTGTCTCTGTGATGTTGCCAAGTCATTATGTTCAAACTGTAGTTTACATTATCAGGTTGATTGTTTTCTTTTACTAAATCTATATGCACATTTCTGTTCGATTCACATCACAGCCACAGCCCAATCAAGCAAAAGGGTTCGAGTGGCACTATGAATTTTAAACAAGCAGGGACTGGACGCAGGACCTGGTCTCTCAAAAGTAAAGTGATTCTCTCAGGGGTCATACACGCATTTGAGTTTGATGGGATCAAAATACTAACAAGTGTAATTCCCAATATATCAGATTATTCTTTAAATAAATAAATTACATGGCTGTGCAATTTAGCACAATTAGCACAACAATGTCTACTATATGACATTGCTACATATTTGTGGTAAAAGTTGCGATTTGTTTTTTTTTAAAAACACCTATGCATTCATAATTATTCAAGTATGGCTCATTAAGCATGATTGGAAACCACTGAAAAGATTTTACACATTTACACTTTTTGTTAACCTTGTCAAAACATTAAAATTCTAAGATTTAGCATTTCCAGAACTGCTGGGTTCTGATTTGAATAACATAAGTATTGACTTAAGACGTGTGCTGACCACTCCCTCCATCTCTGCGGTGAGTCTCCTCTGTGTGTCTGATATCTGGATCAGGACGTCCCCTGTTTAAAACAAAAAGACAAAGGATTATGCTCCCTGAAGATGTCATCTTGTTTCATGTACAACTAATTTGCCATTTGAAGAAAGAATATGTTAAATCTTTTCATTCAAAATCTCTAGAATATAAAAGATCCAGTGACACCTTGACTTACCATCGATCTACGTCAATCACTCATTTTGTTTGAATTCATGTCCATTACAATAGAAAGGCACAATATTTGAGTGGGGATGTCAGTAATTTGATATGTGACTTTAACACAATTCAACACCACTCAAGTCATCTACAGATTCTTTTGATCTAACTAGCTGGACTGCTACGATAGTGGAAAGTTAGCCAAGCTCTTTATCTTATGGGTGCCTCCGGCCTTGTCTATTGTCATGGACTGTGGTTGAACTAATGAATTGAGTGCAGCTGAAAGACTGTCCCCATCTATAATTCAGGGGCCGTCACTCAATAGGGCCCCTGGTCACGCTGTGGCTCCCTGACCTTCTCAGTTAGCCAACCTAGCAGAACCACGTGTGTCATGCTGTGTGCTAGCACTAATGTATGAGCCCACACACCGTCAATGGGGACGCGTTAGCATATTGCTAATTACTAGTAACAATGCTATCGCACGTCCCCTGGGAGTGAAAGTGAGGCTAGTGGAAAATATACACTCATGCATGCACTCAGGACTGTGCACATACACACACACACACAAATACACACACTGTATGTCAACACACACTGACACATACACAGGAGAAGAGGAGAAACATCTGGGAAGGTTGTAATTTTACAGTTACTGAGTGTGTGTGGTATTTTACAATCTAAGATGCGTCAGAATGATTGAGCTTGACATTAACTTGATGGAGCACTTGGCTGTCCCTAGAGGGCAATTCTGTTTCTGTAATGAATGCAATACATTAGGGTGAAACTTGTAATGGAAAGACTAAGTTATCAATTACACATACAAATAGGCACACACTTACCAAGAGAGCGGGATGAAAGTGTGTGAAGAGCCTGGTCACCCATCTTAGCCACAGCGCTGAAATAGGCCTCACTGCAAACAGCTAAGGCTGCAGTACACAGAGATACACACAAATACGCTCATTAAACCACACGCTTCTCAAATACTCAGAAGCTTTGGAGTAACGTCACAGCCAGTTTAACTACTACTTAATTGGGTCAATCAATTCCGCTTTTATTCATTTCATTCACACAGGCCTCGCAGTGCTGACATGTGATATGTGATTTCAGTCTAGGAATAGCCCCATGCCAGTGGGTGTAGTTTTACCACACCGCCTTGTTGCCCCGTGACTGACGGCCCGTTCTTGCTTTATCAGGCAGAGAAGTGCATTAATGATACATGCTGCGCACCCAATTACCAACGTAACACACATGATAAAGATTGGAGAGACGTAGACAGGAAGGATTAGTGAGGTCAGACATGCAAATACAATAGGATTTACACAGAGGGTTCCGCTTTAAATGTTGGTGCCTGATGTTTTTCAAAAGAAAATCAGGTTTGAATTCTGCTTCAGTCGTGAAAAATAAACTTCAAACTTCATACAATGAGTGCGAACTTCATTTTGGCTCATTACTCCACATATCACTTTTCTGAATGACCCCAAAAAAGCCAACAGCCCATACAAGCCCAGTGACTTCTATCTTGTTCACAAACACTAAAACTTTATTGTTTTTTTAAGTGCAGCAAACGAGTAATGAACACTGTGGATTTATGATCTTCTTCTTAAGGTCCTCTTGTACCCTTGCACAGATCTGTGTCTCAGTGATCTGTGTAAAATCCTTTTCTATCATCTTTGACATCACTAACTTACATCAACTGAGAAAGAAAAATCTTGTTACAGTGCTTACAGTTTTATCCTCCTTCCTCTAATTAACATTTGACTGTGTATGACATACTTTACAAATGAAGGGTAGCTAGTGGTTTTTATTTCTGTCATGCCAAACATTTGGCCCATCCCCCATGGAACTACAGGATAGTGTTAATTATCAAACATAAAAAAGTATAACATGCATGTTCTGATAACACATATGCAGAACCAAAAGCAAGAAAGTGCCTCTTCCACTTGGCAAATGTCTGTGTCTGTCTCACAGAGACACACACACACTCATTCAGTCACCCACACATGTACCCACACCCAGTCACTTATAAAGCTCACTCACCTTGGAAAGCTTTGACATAGCTGTTTCCTAGAGCAACAAGCTTCTGGAGGCCTGGATTGAAGTGCTCCATCAGGTTCTACGATATCACACAGACAGACACACAAATACACATACATGCACACACACATACACATACACATACACACACACACACACATGCACAAAAACAGACCAACATGCCAAAAAGGAAAAATATTACTTCAGCTAACACTTAAGAAATATCCAGCTTGGCCACATTTAAATATACAATACAGCATAAAACAACAGTGAACAATGAGATGATGTAAACTCACCGAATAGACAGTTAAAGTTGATCTGTGCAGCTGGTCACTGCTGGCTCCTGACATAGTGACCAATTTTAAGGGAAATATGAACTTAAAACAAAAAAAAAGTCTTGAAAAACGAATGTCAGAGACAGAGCAAACTTCTGTTAAGTCTGTATTCCCATTCAAACGTCTGAAGAAGTTTCCTCAGGCGTTTCTTGTCCTGTATTTAGCAGCGTCTTAAGGCAGCGAGTCACCCTCAATGCAGGCCCACTGTTTCTGCTGTTGTTCCAAAGATCAATAACACCTGTCTGACAGAAAGATGGTGCTTTCCTCCCTCTCCCTTTTTCTGTCATTCGTCACTGCTCTTTTTTTACCCCTTGTCATCAGCAGTTTTCATGGAAAGAGCGAGCAAGTGAGTAAGGGGAAGAGAAAAGGGAGTAGGTGCCATCGATATGGCCGGGCCAGGTAAATTATTGATTAAGGAGGAGGACAGCCAGAAGCCCAACTAGCTGTGACGTATACTCACACCTAGGGGAGTACTTCAACCTCAACCTTTGGTGAAACAAATTGCTACCATAAAAAAGGTATATTAAGTGTCATATGCAGTTAGATACAAAGATATTACTCAAGAAACCTGCCCTTCAGTGCTTCAAACACTATGAGGAAATATGTCAAAGTCAATCACACGTAACAGGTTCATCTTTTTCATAAGACTCAAACTATATACAGCAAACCTCTCACGCACCAAGTACAGTGAAAATTATATAAGACTCACCTTCTCTGTCCATCAAATACACCATGATATTGAACCCACATGAAAGCTATGATCTCTAACTAGATGTCAGTCACAAAGAGGAGAGGGAAGTTGAAGACAGACAGGTCATAAAACAATCCACACCAATTAAAGAATGAGAAGGTGCGATTCAAAATTTAGAAGTTGCTTCTGATGTCTTCTGTTTTATTCTACAGTTGGTCCAACACAAAATAAAGAGCGATGAAACCATTTTTGTCTTCCTCATTTTCAATTTGCCTTTATCAAGCAGTTTGGGTTTGTGAGTTATCTCATTATTTTCTTCAGAAATTAGTTGTGATGTAATCACAACAACCTTTCATTTAATGCGAACAGTGTCATTAACAATCTTTTTAAACAGACAAGAGGTATTTCAAATATTACTACACACCTGAAAAACATGCACATTTTAACCTGTACCAGACCAATTTTGTGTTTATCACATTTCAATGGATCAACTTTTCAATGAAATGGAAAGAGTAATTACAAACACCTTTTTTGTATTTTTGTATGTCAAATTTCAAATACCTGAAAATGGTATGAGTCATATTTATTTCATATATAAGCCATAAAACCAATAACTTAATAGCTTTCCTCTTACAGGGGTTTGAATGAATTTGTGCTGTAGAACCCAACATTTCAAAGTCCAATACAGCCATTTGGGCTTTTTAAACATATCCTCCTCATGTTTTGTCTTATGTATACATCCTGCTTTATTGTAACAGAATATGTCCAGACACCATTTAAGTCCTTGTGACTTTAACTATGCTGCTGACCACATTTTGCATGCGCTACTGCACTCACGAACATAGATATAATATGAAGGTGTGAGGCTGTTCTATCCAGCAGAAGTGACCATGTCTTTCAAGTGGGCAGTGTCATCAAAGATGACCTCATTACCACCGCCATCCTTACTTTGTTGCTTTTGGCAACGACTTACAGTCTCCAGCACAGTTTGCAAACGCCGATCGAGAGCAGCGAGGTGGGGCTCCGAGAGCAGCGGAGCCACACTGTGAAGGGGATCGTGGGAGAGCGAGGCCCGCATGACATCACTGAGGCGATACTGAGGCAGAGACAGGAGACGCAGGCGAAGCCAAGTGGAGAGACGGATTCTGGAGAAAGATCAAAGTGAAAGAAAGAGGCGTTTAAGAGAGGGAAGGAAATGATGAAGATCATGGAGAAGACAGAGGGAAGACAAGGTTGTAATGGTGAATTTTGTGGGTATAGCATGATGGACACAGCAAAGATTTTATTTTGGAACTGAGAATTCTTTCTTATAAATTTTGAACCAAGCAATGGACCTCCTCTCCCGTACTACCCAGTGTTGCTTCTTTATGATGGCTTCATCTTACTCTATGTGATTGTTTTATGATCTGAGGTATCCTCAACTGCGCTAAAAGGAATACCATTTATTTTAAATGAATGCAACCAGACAGGAGGTGTACTGTTGCGTGCATAGGGACGGGAGACAGTGGTGTTTATAGTAAGAGTTCAGCACATTTCATCACATCCTTGTTTGTACCTGCAGCACTGTTCTAGAGGAACTAAGATAGACGGCTCATCTTTGGAGTGGCGCCCAAATCTGCAGCGAAAACAGACCCAGAGTCAGTTAAGTCAGAACTGCAGCGATCAATCCAAACATTAAACAAAACAAAAAAAAAAAAAACTAGAGCAAGTGTGTTAACAATACATGACACTGTTTGTGAGAACAATAGCAGAAATACTTACGCTCTCCCGTTGTCAAGGTGCAACAGAAAAGTATTGTTGCCAAACTTCTCGAACGTCTCATAGTGGTGCCTGTCCATGTTTCCTATGGGAAGAAAAGGAAGTATTCAGTTACTGTTGTCAACAACTCACAGTATCCTTTAATACATTCAACCAAATAATAACAACACATCAAAGCAACAAAAACTATTTGTTGTATTGTTTACCAGTTCTGCAAACTTGAAGCCTTCACATGTATCTTTGCAAGTCACCATTTACAAATAATACAATAGAATTAATGCCAAACGCTGAAACACTGCATGTTCCAGGCCAGAGGAAACTACCCTGGTGAAAGGCTTTTTAATTGTAAATTTAAAGTGGGGTATTTGGTGTATTTGTGTTCGTGTGGGTGCAAAAACATACATGTTCATGTCTCTTTTGAATCTGTACTGATGTCAGATTTCAAAAGCCTTTCAACAGATTAAATCATTTTGCTCAGACAAGAACTCCACTCCTTTGGGCTCTGAGATCAATCTGGATTAAACAAAATGCTACAAACTGCCTGTATGACATTGTGTAACAGTTTTAATGAAAAACCAAATTCAAAGCATCACAAAACATAATGTATAAACAGACATTACAAAGTTATTGCAAATTTATTTGAGGTTTCACATAAATTCATATGAGCACTTGTTCTAATGACATATTTACAATATTTCTCAGGTGTTACTGCATCAGTGCGTCTGAACATCAGTTAGCTGCATCACGCCTGATAAATCCATGTTGTTTCAGTCAGAGCATACTAACGAGCCTTACCCTTCTCAAACTACACAACACAGGATTTAGCCTGGCATGAAGGGGAACCTTAGTGATAATGTTAACATCTGCCAGTCCCCAGTCTCCTGTCTCCTGCTCGTCATCTAGATAGAGTGGGCAATGGTAGACTGGTAACTGAGAGGCAGTCGACTCAGAAGCATCCGAGATTTGAACATTACTGGTGTCCATTAGATATGAACTTTTACACGGGAAGGTATCTCTGGCAGTATTTGTGCTCCTGACTTGAGCCTCGACACAAACAAGGGGCAGTGAGCATGACTCCGCAGAGACTGTGTCCTGTAGGGCTCCTAGCTGTGTATCCCATGATGCTCCTCTAAGCTCCAGGCCACACAAATACACAGCACCCAGCGGAAGTGAGGCCGGGTATGTGCTATCACTCAGAACCTGTGGGGACAAGAAAACAGTAAGTGTCTATCCTGCAGGACGTTTAGATGGTTGGAGTAATAGTGGATTAACTATTTTCACCCACTAGGTTTCAAAACTGAAATTTTCATCATTTACCTGAAAATGCAGTTTTACATCACTGATATATTTGCGATTTACTTGAGCAGCCTCTCTCATCACTGCCACCAGAAATCCTCCGGCATTTCTGAAAGCAGATAGTCGGTATGCGCCAGGTGGATCTGAAGTGTTGCAGCGCCAGAGGTAAGTACTCAGCAACTCTGCTCTCTTCTCCAAGCGAAACAAGTCGGTGAGCTTGAGGATGGAAGCAAAGGTCGGCGTGCTGTATTGAACGGGCTGTTGAAGCTGTGAGAGGAGCGAGGACACCAAATCAATAAGATCGTCCCACTCAGCCTGGATGAAGTCACATAGTGAACTGTGAGAAACAGCTCCTGCATTTGTAACCCTGCTGTCATTCTTGTTTGTGAGGAAACTCTTCAGAGCCTGCAGTCTGTCTCTTGCATGACTGTATGCTGGCATTGTGGAGGGCTGGTTTAGCTGAGTGTAGACACTCCTCACTGTCCCTTGAGGAGTCTGAGAGGCCTGCAGTAGTAAGTTCAAATTGTGACTATTGATCTTGATTATCTCAGCTGCCACATCTGTACTAAATCCAAGCACAAGAGGGTCATTCATGTTCGGTGAATCCTGAAGACCCTGCTCCAAAACCTGCAGAAGTCCTGACAAATCTGTGAACATGAAACATAGCCACAATCAATACGTTGTACTAACAGAGAATAGCTGACAAACAGAAACATCCACTGTGGCTCTAATGCCCGTAGTCCTTACTAGTTGTAAAGAAAAAATCTTTGCATGATCGATATCCTCCAGTTAACACTCTCATCAGTTAGCTTGTAAGATAATTACTATACAAAATGTCCTATCAGAAAGCTGTCTGGTTACCGAATTGGCCAGGACTGCTGATGATATTTGAAAGGGAGTGTGGTCCACTGCCCCACAGAGGTGACACTCTGCTGAGGCAGGTCTTGGCAACGCTTTCCACCACCACCAAATCTGCAGAGTCCAGCACATGGCCTCCATGCACTAGATTGACTATGAATTAAAAGTACAACAAGGTTAACACATACAGTAACTGAACTAGAGAGACAGTGTTATCTGTTAATGCTGCCTCACCTGCTATATACTGCAAAGCTTTGGTCTTGTTATCGCAGAGACTGGCAATGCAATTGTGTGCATCCACCAGAGCCTGGAGGTCTTCCTGACTCCTTTGAAATAGAAACAGTCAACATGCATAAGCATAAACTCTTAATCCATCATGCAATGAGATAACACCTCTACTATATATCAACTACAGTGTACAGTATTTGGACCCATCTCCTCACCAGTTGTAGATTCTCCCCTGGCCGAGGTATTTATAGGTCTGTCTCTGCAGTAAGACAGAGTGGAAGATGGCACAGCGGAGGAAGAGCTCCCTGTTGTCTGCTGTCTCACCAGACAGTGATTGACATTGTATGAAGGACACCACTTGTTGCAAGGAGCAGCTCAGCTCCTCCTTCAGATCCCAGGGAGAGTCACAGACCAGAGGCAGGGCACACGTACGCACTGCCACTGTTAAATGATAAAAATAATAATAATCATTATCATTATAATCATTAATATAAACTGACAACACCAAGACAAACAGGAGTTACTGTTTTTACTTAAGCACATTTTTAAATGAATCAATGACTGTGAAATTGTATTAATAGAAAAACATACATACTTAAGGCTCTGATTGCAAACCAATGTCCTGGATATATTTTGTTTGTGGAAGGTAAAGGGTTAAATAAGGACTGATACTCTCTACTGAACATTATGTGTAGCTTAGTACCAGGTGTTGGTAGTGAAGAAGAAAACTGCAGCTATGGTGTCTGACCTTGAAAGGAAAACTTGGACAGAGCAGACATGGCAATAAAATAGATTTACCTGGTATGTGGTGTAATGCATATTCTTGAGTTATAAACCACAAGCGAAAGCATGGGTGAATCAGGCATCGCTCCTCTGTGCGGAGAAACAGAAATACTGGGTTGTAACTTGGGTTGTATCTATTTGTGAATTATAATGAATGATACAAATGCAATAGAAAACTGATTCTTGATTGATCACCTACCTTTGAAAGAGGAGATCAACTGATTGAGGCGAGCCACGACTTTATCATCCCATTGTTCCAACAAGTGACAGTTGTTAAAAACCAACCAGTGGCCATCATTAACTGCCTTGTCCAGTGCTGAGAGGATGACCTCTCTGTCACACAGAGTCCCAAAAGAAATTACTTTCACCTGAAGGAAAAATATTCATTAAGAAAACCTTCAAGCACTTCACTGATGTACATTGGTTACAGCTATTAACTCAAAACAAATAAAACGGAGTGTGTGCGTGTTTTACCCTCTTTGTTTCTGCTACACCGTCTGCCAGTTTATTTATTAAGTGAAGAGGCTGAATACTTGTAAAGGTGTCTCCTCTTGGACAGGGCAATGCAAGAATGATGGGTCCCTCATGTTTGACAAGGTATCGTGAGAGGGACTCTGGGTTCCCAGTGTGAGGGGCGTCAGACCCCACAGACTGTTGTGGCAGGCAGAGGAGGCAGGCAGCTATCACATCAGCTAGTCCCTCGAGGCAGTTGGGGAGCATGGTTTTCCAGAGGAGAGCCCGCTGTGGCAGGGACAGATGGGAGTGAGAGCGACAGGGAACAGGCCCTATCACAGTGGAGGAAGGGAAGTGGAGGTACTCCTGCCACTGTAACGGGGAAGTGGACAGTGAGGAAATCAGCCCTCTGAAGGCCAGGATCCTCTCCAAGCAGAGGATCTCTGGATGGATATGAGCGGGTATCCAGCTGGGCAGAGAAGTGATGGACTGTGAGGCAGTCTGAGAAGCAGGGCAGGGTTTACCTTTACAGACAGGATGTTCTATGTCTTGAAGGCCTCTGAGTAAAGCCAGCCTCTCACCCTCAGAGCAGAGCCTGTTGTGTTTGAGCAGAGCCACAGACACCAGCAGCTTCAGGACAGCAATGTGGTTCTTGAAGAGACAAGGCCTGTAATGGGCCAGCAGCTGAGCAACCATCTTGTTTGTAATCTCTGGTTCTATGCTCCCTGGCGCTTTCCCAGTGGAAAATGACACTAATGGTCTGCCCTCCGCAATGAAGGCCTCTTGCATAACTGTGAAGAAGCCATGTAGAGAAAAGTAGTAGGCGGGGGAAAGACGGGACACCTCCTGCAGAGCCTGATAGAGGGCAGCAGCCAGCCTCACTAACTGTCGGAGGGTAGCCACTACAGCCTCATGGTACTCCAACACCTCAGTCAGCTGCTGGATCTCCGTCTGCAGTTTCTTCATTGCTTCTTGACACACAGCCATGCAGGCATGAAAATCACAGTCCTGCAGCAGTACGGAGTTCGACTGCAGGATGTAGTCCATCAGAGCATCCTAAGACAAGATTGTGTAAAGTCAACTGATGGACAGGAGCTACAAACAACAGCAGATAATCACATTATTATCTATCAAGTCAGATTTTGCATAAAATAACTGGCCTCTGCTTTAGTTAGATTTAAAGGTTCAATGATCACACTCACAGTGGCAGCTTGATTAAAAAATCCATAAATCACTCTCATAAGCCCAGTCCATGAATAATGTACAGTATTCTTGCCACAACCGCCACCTCATGTTGGGATCCACATGGCCTACACATTCGAACTGCAGCCCAGGTAATGTAAATATTATGCACATGTAAAGCCAGACTACAGCTTGTGGGCGCATTATACATTAGTCTGTACAAGTCTGTGAAATGATTAACTCATAATCATTTCAGCCTGACAGTTACCAGCCAAATCAATAGGC